GACCCAGGGTCTCGCCATGGCTTTTCGAGCCATGAGCGCGAGCTTGGGGCAACGGATCAGCGCACGGCCGGAGCCTCGAAAAAGAGGTGAGAGTCAGAGCAGAGCGGGGTCGCTGTGGAAAATGACCCCTGGGAAATCCAACTGGGTGTGGCTCAAAATTCAAGAGCTAGGGTTACGCGGCCTTCAGTGTTTGGTGCCATTTACCAAGGTGCCATTTTGGTACATTTATTTGCGCCGCAGCCAACTGATGGTTTCCAGTAAACCCCACAGATCCTCTGAGAAAGGCAATGGGACTCCTTGCAGTCCCATTGCCTTGGTGATTTGGATTGGAAGGCGCAACCTGTCCAATAGCGGGACTCCGGAGTTTTTTTGGGAGTTGTACTCTGAGTTTCATCCTCCAGATTGACGAATGCGGGCTCGACTTTAGGAGCTGACCCGCCTTGTGGTTTTGGTACCTCAAGTCGCAGCAATTCATGGCTAGGCATCGTGAGTCCCCTAATGTCATCATACGGTGACACGTTGGGCCAACGTTCGGGGGATATACAAGATGTTCAAGCCTAGCTTTACCACCTCATGTTTTTTTCCCAGATAGCTCAAAGCCATAGGGGTTCTAACTTCTAATAAGGAGGGGAAGGTGATTTGCGAGATTGAAGGCAGGGTGCTAGGGGGCATGCTGCAGTTTGGGGTGCTGGTGCAGGTGCTGTTTGAAGTGCTGGTGATGGTGCGGGCGTATTTGGCTAGATTGACGGCAGGGCATGCAGTTTGGGGTGCTAACAAATAGCTGCTGTTGGTGGTGTGGGCGCATTTTTGCGAGATTGACGGCCAGGTGCTGAAACACATGCAGTTTGGGGTGCTGTTGCAGGTGCTGCTTTGCGGCGCTGTGTGGGGCAGCTGTTTAACGACCGGGTTGCAGTTTGGGGTGCTGGTGCAGGTGCTCCAGGCGCTGATGATGGTGTGGGTGCACGGTTGTCGCAATTGACGGCACGTTGCTAGTTCGTGGCTGTGGTATCATCATGATGCTGAGCGCGTGATCATGATGTGGTTGAACCCATTAGGAGGTCGTCGTAATGTTTCGTGGCTGGTGTAAAATCATGATCGCGCCAACAGTGCCATGATGCTGCGGGAATCATTTCGATGCCGCGTTTTGGTTCGCGGGTCATGTAGCCCATCATTCTGCCGACATCGACATGACGATGCAGAATTTCATTACGATGTCGCAAGATGATTCTTGGCTGTGGTATCATCATGATGCTGAGCGCGTGATCATGATGTGGTTGAACCCATTAGGAGGTCGTCGTAATGTTTCGTGGCTGGTGTAAAATCATGATCGCGCCAACAGTGCCATGATGCTGCGGGAATCATTTCGATGCCGCGTTTTGGTTCGCGGGTCATGTAGCCCATCATTCTGCCGACATCGACATGACGATGCAGAATTTCATTACGATGTCGCAAGATGATTCGTGGCTGTGTCATCATGATGCTGAGCGCGTGATCATGATGTGGTTGAACCCATGAGGAGGTCTTCGTAATGTTTCGTGGCTGGTGTAAAATCATGATCGCGCCAACAGTGCCATGATGCGGCGGGAATCATTTCGATGCCGCGTTTTGGTTCGCGGGTCATGTAGCCCATCATTCTGCCGACATCGACATGACGATGCAGACACTAAGATGATTCGTGGCTGTGGTATCATCATGGTGCTGAGCGCGTGATCATGATGTGGTTGAACCCATGAGGAGGTCGTCGTAATGTTTCGTGGCTGGCGTAAAATCATGATCGCGCCAACAGTGCCATGATGCTGCGGGAATCATTTCGATGCCGCGTTTTGGTTCGCGGGTCATGTAGCCCATCAATCTGCCGACATCGACATGACGATGCAGAATTTCATTACGATGTCGCAAGATGATTCGTGGCTGTGGTATCATCATGATGCTGAGCGCGTGATCATGATGTGGTTGAACCCATGAGGAGGTCGTCGTAATGTTTCGTGGCTGGTGTAAAATCATGATCGCGCCAACAGTGCCATGATGCTGCGGGAATCATTTCGATGCCGCGTTTTGGTTCGCGGGTCATGTAGCCCATCAATCTGCCGACATCGACATGACGATGCAGAATTTCATTACGATGTCGCAAGATGATTCGTGGCTGTGGTATCATCATGATGCTGAGCGCGTGATCATGATGTGGTTGAACCCATTAGGAGGTCGTCGCAATGTTTCGTGGCTGGTGTAAAATCATGATCGAGCCAACAGTGCCATGATGCTGCGGGTATCATTTCGATGCCGCGTTTTGGTTCGCGGGTCATGTAGCCCATCGTTCTGCCGACATCGACATGACGATGCAGAATTTCATTACGATGTCGCAAGATGATTCGTGGCTGTGGTATCATCATGATGCTGAGCGCGTGATCATGATGTGGTTGAACCCATTAGGAGGTCGTCGTAATGTTTCGTGGCTGGTGTTCAATCATGATCGCGCCAACAGTGCCATGATGCCGCGGGAATCATTTCGATGCCGCGTTTTGGTTCGCGGGTCATGTAGCCCATCATTTTGCCGACATCGACATGACGATGCAGAATTTCATTAATTACGATGTCGCAAGATGATTCGCGGCTGTGTTATCATGACACTGGCTGCGTCATCTTGATGCCGTTCGCACCATCATGATGCGGTCGATTTGACCAAGCCGTCGTCTATGCCTTCCATGTAGCGCGGCTAGCGCGTAAAGGTTCGTGGCTGGTGTGTCAGCATGGTGCTGTCAGCATGCCCATGATGCTGTCAACATCATCATGATGCAGATGGAACCATTCGGATGCTGCGTGCTGTTAGGGTGTGCTGCTTGGGGAGCTGCCCTATTGTTTTTGAAAAGGGTGAACCCCCATTAACGGGGGACCCCCCCCCCCTTATCAACCAGAAATTTGTTGCCAACGTTTGTCAGGGGGTGGTTCCCCTTCGGGGGATGTTCGTCATGTTGGGACCAGGGTTCCATTTTGCAATTTCAAAACCCGAGTCAGGAACTGCCCTTGGCGCAACATGCCAAAAGCGACCCTTTGACCTTTTGGTTTTCCTTTTTGACCTACTTATGGTCAGGTAAGCCTTAGTTAGTTGGCGGTTTGCTGGTGGCTTGAATTTGGATTTTGAACCCCTGGTTCTTTTTAGAGGCTACATGGGGAAAACACCACTAACTAGAGGGAAGCTGAAAGATTCGAGTGGCTTAGCCTGATTCCAGTGAATTCTTGGGGTCAAGGCCCCTGGCCGAACATTGCCCTAGGCCATAGCCCCATGGCGGCCTTTGGGCCCCGGTTGTCCTTGGCCCCCCCCCCCCTGTGAAATTTGAGGTTACAATTGGGTGAAAGCGGATGACGCAACCTCCAGGTTTCTTCCCATCCACTTTAAAGGCGGGGGGAAAAAAACGCGCCACCTACATTCGCCCTTGAGATATTAAAGCCGCCCGCGCATTTCGCCCAGGGCCTGCCAGGCCGGGGACCTGGGCATTGGGAGGCTTCGAATCGTCGAAAGCGATGGACGTGGAATCGTTGTTTTCCTTTTTTGGGGGACCCCATGCCCAAAATCGAGCAAAAGCCAGCGACCTTGATGTTTTTACCTTGTTTCACGGCTTCGGGGGGGTTGTCGGAAGACTACTCGCAAAGGGGCCACCGTTTCTCCTTTTCCACGAGTTTTGAGGGGGAGGAATGGCAAACGCTGGCTAGTGGAAAGCATAAGGTCCTTGGATGGTTTTTGGGGGCCAACTCACCAAGGAAGTGAGGCCCATTTAAAAGGGAAGGCCTGGCTCAGTAGAAGACCCCCGAGTCAATTTTCTAGATGCAGCCCTTTGATGCCGGAATCCGGAGCTTCCAAGATCCTATGCGAAGAAACCCAGCTGCCAAAAGGGCCTTCCACGTCGTTTTCAGTAGCATGTGCCTGGGTTGGCAACAAAGGCAACTCATCCGGTGATGTTTCTCTTTCCACGCTGAGGTGCAGGCCCTGAAGTAACCGCATCACCCCACCCAAAGGAAGCTAATTGCCAGATAGCCTTAAAAGCGTGTATGTGAGCAGCAGTTGAGAAAAGGGAGCATGCAATGTGCAAGTGCCGAATGCTGACACGGGCCCTTTCCTTGTGGGGTGACATTTTGCATGTTGGAAGCTTTTCTCGCTTTCCGGTGACCCTCAAAGCTAGCGGAAGGCTTTAGTATCCCAATTGCGCTTGTTTGAAAGGGCCCTTTGGGGGCGTCGTTGCAGAAAGGGAACCAAGAGTGAAGAGACCAACATTTGGGTGGCTTGCAGTTTTTTTGGGGCTGAGTACTTCCAACCACCAACCACTTCCGAATGGCGGACAGTTGTTGGATGTTTGGCCAATGCTTGTGATGCCGCGGCTTCTTGTTTGCCATTACCTTTGGTGCCACACCGGTTATTTCACACAACCCTGGGCCAATACTCTGTAACCATGTTAAGCACCTCTCTTTCCCGCAAATACGGAAGTGGCATGAGGGTTCTGTAAGGCTACAATCCTCTTAAACCGGTGTCTTGTCTTGTTGGGAAAAGGGTGCCCCACAAGGCCCCAGGAACACCCGAGCAGGCGAGGACGTGTGTCCTGCGGATGCCAATGAAATTATCCGCTGCAGGTTCTCATGGACCTACAGAATATCATTTCGCGAGGAAACTCCGGAATATTCCGCGGTGGGGATGGGAACTAAGGTTCGGTATACGACGTGTGACTAGGGGACCAGGGGGTTCGTATCCCGCGCTTCGCGGGTGTTCCGCCAGGTCCGCTTCATGTCGAAGGCTCGCGGCTTTGAGTGGAACCTTGGTAACGAGCTCGCTTTGAAAAAGCAAAGAACGAGGCCCCCCGTCCGAAGAACAACGCTTACTTAGAGGCCTTGCAGTGGGATCAACCGGGTTAACATTTTGTGACCACTTAACTACTCACTCCCTGAGCTCCTGGACTTCAGTTTTTTTTTTTTTTTGTGGGGGCGGGTGGGGGGGGAGGGAGAAGACAGCAAACGCAAGCTCAGATTTGGACTGGGCCAACACATTCCGGAAGTGAGGCTAACTTCCAGACCTAAGGGGGGGACGTTCAGTGCCAGGAGGCTCGGCCCTTGAGCCCTCAGATGGTTGATGTGGGCGCAAAGGCCCAGACCCGGCGCACGGCGCCCTGGGCTGCACACAGTTGGACCTTCGGAGGTTAGCGTGCATTTTCCTGTTAGGGGAGGCGCTTTCAGTTTGTTTGTTTCCCAGTTTCCTTGTTTCCTTGTTTCCTCGTTTGTTTTGTGTTTGTTTGTTTGTTTGTTTGTTTGTTTGTTTGTTATGTTGGGGAGGGGCAAAGAGGGGGAGTGTCGTGTTTGTGCCATGCATGTAGCAAATCACGTAGTTCTTGCTTGGCTTGGTTGTTGTTTGTTTGCCAGGGGCGTGAACAGTCGTTGCAGGGGGCGTGAAGGATCATTTTTCTTGCGTGGAGGTCTCTTCAAGGAGTTTTCCTTCTTTTTTTTTGCGGGTTGTTTCTCGGGGTTTTACGGATCTTTTTCTGGGAGTGCGGGGTCTTGGTTCTTGCACGGGGGGGGGGGGAAGGTGATTTCAGGGGGGTTCGAGTTGTTTTCTTTGTCGAATGGAAAGGGGGGGCTGTGTGCCAAACCGGTGTGGAGCTAAGTCTGAGGCACGAGCAGGCTGCACAGTCATTGTTGGTAAAGAGGCGGGGAGGGGGGTGGGGGGAGGGTTGTCGCGTCAATGCCCATTTGCTCAGGTAGCACTTGGTTGGTGGCTTGGAATTGACCCCAACCCTTCTAAAACCAGATGGGGATTTTGCCTTTATTGCATAACTTGCAGATTGATACGCTGGACGTGGATCAAACTGTCCGAAAGACGACCAGACTGCATGTATTGAGTCCTTTTGATTTCCTTTTACCCGAATGGTGGATTTACCTACTGGGCAAGCCAGCAATCCCCCCCTGTAATCTACCATGGTTTGTGGTTCGCGGTGAATGGGAATGCCGCAGAACAAGCATGCAAGCAAGGGGGAAGAGTAAAATTACTCAGCCAGCGGAGTTTTTGGGGCATGTTTGGACCCTCTTGAATTGGATCCCAGGAGTTTTCGCCAATTTCCACGCCCAACCCTGGCTCCAAATGCCATCCTTTTCGATCCTTTTTTGCACAAAGAGGTGGCGCCCGCAGAACCCATGGTAGTCCAAGCATAAACCATGTTTTCGTGAGCCTCCAAACCCCAATCCATTTAGCAGATCCCCATGTTTCCACACCGGGCTTTGCAAGTAATCATTTGTTCCCTGGCTTACTTGGCTTGATGCAATATCACAGATTATCGTAGATTTTCGATTTTTTACCCTGATGCCTTGATGGCTTTTCCCTGATCTACCAGTTGGCCTTAAGTTCACAAAGCTCGCACCGCTCAGTGGGTTTGCCCCGCGTGACGTGCGCCTTGCCTGTTGAACCTGTGAATCTTGCGCGGGGCGAGTGGCAGTTAGATGCAGGATTGTTGAAAGAGTACACCAATTTCCAAGTTACAGGGTGTTGGGGTTCATCACTGTTGGAGGGGATCCAGGACAGGCCTTTTAATCCGGGGTCAACATTGCCTTGCTCAGGGTTTTGGCATTGGCGCTTTGCCATTTCAAAGCCTCAAGACCCGCGGAGGTGGCTGCCGCACTGGCTGCGGGCACTGTGGCGAAGGGAGATGCAGCCTGGCGTGGCTTTTGCTTTTCTCCGCGGTCCCTCGACTCTCCGTCATGTGAACCTTCAAAAAGCGGCAGCTTCATTGGAACCCGCCTTCCGCAAGATGATCCGCGGTCAAATGCACTGTGTTGGGGTCTTTGGGCTTCCATTCCTGGTTGTTCCCTTACTTGTCCTCAGTCCATTCACAAGATGGGAGGGGGTAAATCAGGCACAAGGGAGGAATGGGTTCTGACACAAGCACCCAAAGCAGAGGGTCAAAATGGCCATAGGTTTGCCAGAAATCAACGAGGACCCATATCAGCCCTTTCAGGGACGGGTCCCCACACGTCGCCGAGGTGTTCACCGTGAGTGAGGTGGCGGGCATCATGGCGGCCAAGCGCACCCCGGACCTGCTCCCGTTGCGCTTGCCCAAGCGGCTCCGTGCACGGGACGCGAGGGACAGTGCGTGTCACAGTTTGTTGAATTTTCAGGCATGTTTTTTTTTCTTCTTGGATTTTGGTTGCCATTTTTTGCGAGTGGCTAGGGGCCCTTCCAAGTGGCAAGTGGCTATGGGGATGGCAACCCCATTTTATGTACTTTCCATTTTGAACCAACTAGCCTGAGCCTCTGGACTTTGCAGGAAGACCGTTTTAGTAGCAAGAAGTTCAGACTGCCACCACTTGAGAGACGTTTGCGATGTTTGTTGGCTGCTGTTTTCTTGAACTCAGCTCAGAAGATGGTGGGGGGGGCTGTGATTGCTAGGGGAGTTCGACTTCCCAGCCCAAGGGGGGAGGTGCGCTGGGGGAAGCTGCCACTTTCGGAGCCCCTCCCCACCCCCCACCGAAAACTGTTTTTCCATGCACATGTTAGGCCCCCACCTAGCTGGCTGAAAAATGGGGGAAGGTATCCTTTCGCCATTTGTGCTTGGCTCTCAACACTTTCTGGAGTTGCGCACATTTTTTCTCCCCGCCGCCATTCAAAGGGTGTTTTTCTTATTTTGCGGATGTTAGTTTAAATGGACCTATTTCGTTCCTCTCTCTGCGGGAGGGTTTCAGGTGCCACCCGCTGCTCCTGAGCCGCACTTCCGTGAAGCCGGGGGCCTGGAAGAGGGAAAAGAGCCGGGACATCCCCGATTTGCCGTGGGATTTCCACTTCCCCTTGTCAAGCATCAGGGATCACTCTGTTTCCACTCTTCTTAGCCCTTCAAAAGTGGCAGGTGCAGTGAAATTCACCAAGGGAAATCCAGTTGCCAGCGAAGGGGAAATCCAGTGAACCCTGTGAATCGGTGCCGATTCTTCTGGAATGGACATCCACGGGTCCGTTTTGACGCTGCATGACAATAGGTCTGGTGGGTTTTCTTTGGCTTGCGCCTTTCCGAAAGACTTGCATGTGCCTGTTGAGCGTGCCTGCCCGGGGTCTCCTGCATGATAAGAGGATGGTATCTCGGAGATTAACTACATATGGGTGGCTCGGGTTTCCCCTTTGGTTTCATTTCCACGCCACAAAGACGGGTACCCTCGAAAAGACGAGCCACCCATATCAGAATCTAGAACATAACATGCTGTAGCCTGGGGCAGGGCCAAGGTGGCTGGCCCTCGTTCCCCGCTGATTTTCTCAAATTTGGAAGGCTGCTTGACCTAGTCCCACTGAGAACCAGCCAGGTTTTGCCCAGGTGGCAAGGGTGAAGCTGTTCCTTTGCCATTTGGAACCCTAGCCTGGTACGCATAGTTTCCCTCACTCCGGAGTTCATTGACTCATGGACTTTAAGCCTTTTGGACTGTTTTTTGTGTGGTAAATGAGCAGTTTAGAGACTTTTTTTGGGCCATCCACTCAGGAAATGAGTTCCCTTCTTTTCACCAAACCGGTTTTTCCATTGTTTCAGCAACCCTCAAATAGCTCTCGGTCGGTGGTTTGGCTTCGGGCTTTGGGGATTCGACCCCCCTGATATGGGGGTTTAACTGGGAAAGTCCCCCTAAGATAGACTCAGATTCAAGGGGTTCGGCCTTTTGGGGAAATGAGCGAGCCACTGGGTTTTTGAGTCTATCTTGGGACCCTCGCCCTGCCTCCGCCCTCCTCTCCTCGCCTCCTCCGCCTCTCCTTGCCTCGACCCCCGAACCACGCAGACCTGAGGTGCCACCTGGATGAAGTGAAGGCCTCGGTGCGTGTGGAGGCGGAGGTGTCCTGCGAGGGCCAGACCGGCGCCGGGAGGCCCAGACCGGACTGACGCGACGGTTGGGGGTTCCGCCCAGTTTCCGGGTGGAGTTTGTTGGCTCCCGGTGGAGCCCCAACCGTTTTGTTCGACCCGGCAGGTTTTTGATGAGTGCGATTTTGCCCTTGCCACGCATCCTTTTGGTGGAATGTCGGGTTTTTGGGTTGCCGGCTTGTGCGGTACTAAGGGCATCTTTTTTGAAGGGATGCAGTAGTCAAGGGAACGGCCAGTATCAGAGAAAGCCATTGAACGAGCATGAAATCCAACGGAAACCGGTTTTCAATTTTGTACCCAACGGTGGTTGATCCTTTTAAGAACTCAGGCCAGAAACTCAGGTGTCCAAACTTATCCTTTTGTGCTTCCCTGGATTCTTTGGGCAGGTGATGGAACAGACCGGGAAGTGAGACGAAACCCGGCGGCCCAGGTAGAAATGGAAAGCATGGCTGCAGCATCCACTGCTGCTCTCTGCATCTACGACATGTGCAAGCCCATCAGCAAAGGCCGGCTTCCCTTGAAAACCAAGACCACAGAGAACCGCAGCCATTTCAATTTGGGAGTCCCCCCCAAAAAAAAACCAAGAACACAAACACACACACACACACACACACACCCATGTCACTGGCAAGGTGTCATAGGCTTTTTAGCTCAGGTTGGTTGAACATCGGAGCATTCCAGTGGTTTCTGTTCAGTGCGGTTTTCAGTTACCAGTCTATTTGTCCAGAAAGATGCCTAGGCATGGGGTCCTTTTGGTGTTTGCGTTCAGCCAAACGAAGCCACACTTTGGGGCTCCAAGTTTGCTTTCCAAGAAGGGTGCCTAAAAGTAGGGGGCCCTTGCTGGACTAATTGTGACGAGCCCACCTACCAGCGGTGCAGCAAACTCGGGCCCCATGATGGCCCTTGCTGGGGCAATCCTTTTGTATTTTAGGATTGTCAACTATATCAACCACCCAATTTCGGAGCCTCACTTTGAGTTCACGGACCAACCGGCCAAGCCTTTCTTTTCGAAAAGGGGGTGAGCCACGTGCAAAGGCTTGGATGACATAGGCTACATAGGTGTGGGAGTTGCTGTTTATCTGGGGGTGTCTTCGTGTTTTGTTTTTTTTGGGGGGGTTTCCCTCCAAAGCCACAAAAATGGGTACCCTCAAAAAAAGAAACACCCATTTGTTGTTCAGAGGCGGATTGTTTTCCCATCATGCGGCAGGCATAGTTATCACTGACCTGCGGCTCTTGAGCAAGTCTGGCGGCAAGAGCGGGGACTACGTGTCCCCGGAGTGAGAGCCCGGGAGAGAAACAAGTGGGTGTGTCTTTTTTAAGGGTTCCTCGTTTTGTGTGGTTTTTAACGGGAAATCAAAAGGAGCACCGCATTTTTTGGGGGAGTCCCTAAAAAAGACACACCCAAGTGCCGCTGAGATGATCCGGGGGCCACGAAGTTGGCAACGCAGCACTTAATATTGCCAGACAGACTTGCCTTGCCCTTTTCCTTTTCGCCTTCTTGTGTTTTTACCCCTCTCCATCCTTGTCATTCACGTCGGGAGCTGGGGTCCTTGACGGAACGGAAGTGCGGGAGCACCTGAGAATCCGGCAGGGGATGATAAAACGTGAATGTGTTGGGTTCCTGGTATTCAGGATCCCGACAACCTCTCCGAAGACCCCCAACTCCTTTGGCCTCATTTGGCACGGGTCGTTCAAAGACTTGTTTTTTCTATCTTTTTGCAGGCCTGAACTTTGTGTCAAAACCTGGGACGTTAATGGATGTTGGTTTTGTGTGAGTTTCTGAAGCTCGCCCCAAGAAAGGACCCTGGACATTTGCAAAGGGTTTGCTTGAGCTCAGCCGATCCAAGCCGCAAGCTCGCAAGGGCGTTTCTGGGCGTTTCTGCCAGGTTGCAACCAACAACTTGTAGAAGGGCAGGCCACGTTTCAGGCTGCAGCAACCCGACCTTCGAGTTCGAGTAAGACTTGAGCCTACCTTTCCCTTGAGCCTTAGGGTTTTGTTGGGGTCTCCCTCGAGACCTCGAGACGTCAGGCCGCAGCTTTTGGGCTCTAGGCGGTTGCATTCAGTTGAATCAAGTCAAGCAACCTGTGACAAGGGCCGAATGATAATTGTAACTGCTTACTCCCCGGAATCATGCCAACAAAACATGGTTTTGTTTTAAAGTACCCCATTCTAATTACTTGCATTTGGTCCTATAGGTTTCGGATATGAGGTGCTCCTGGGCGGGTGCCTTGTGTGGGAAAAGGGGGTAGAATCCAGCTGTGCACAGGAGCAAGCAGCCACCCGCTTTTAGGATTTGGGCTGTTCGGGGCTCTTGGTTGCACCACGCACTCTAAGTGTCCGCGTCGCCCCGGGGGGGGGGCCTAGCCGCCATTCAGCCCCCTACAAACCACTTCTAAGCCTGCAATTTCTCCCCCCCCCCCCCAACCCTCCCACCCTGCCACACTCCCAAGCCTCACAACACCTCCGACCCCAAGCCCCCAAACTCCCCAGCCCTCGACCCCCAAGTTGGGACAGACATTAACCCCCCCGCCGCCACATGTCCGGTTTAGATGCAGCCCAGGCAGATTCGCCGGTGGCGTTTTCCCCCCAAAACGTCCACGGGTCGTTTGGGGTTGGGGGGAAGGGGTGACTCTGCGGATTCCACAAAGGTTGAAATCGTTCTTGGTTGATGGTTTCAAAGGGGCACCCCCAACAGGAGACGACGACAGACAGTTGTGAGAGCGGGTGCTTTGTTTCCGATGGCCAACACCATTTTTGATGTTGGTTTCTCATGGGTTCCTTGATCTTGAGTGGGAAAAACCGCAGATTGACAAATGCATGTGCATTTCTGGCTTGTACTAGCCCCCAACGTTTCGATTCACGAGAGGGGTGCTTTTCACTGATAGTCACATGCTCATATTTGGCCATGGACTGGCAACGGGCACCTTTGGTAAAGGGCACAGTTGCACCACCACTGTTTGCAGGTCAGCACCTGCTTTTCTTTTAGTTGCAACCAAAAAGCAAAGACCTGGTCCAAACATGTAGCTAGTAGAATTGCAACCAACATCTGGGCAATTTACTGCAACTCCTAAACGAAAAGAAGGGTAGCCCCCGCCCTCACTGAAGGACCTTCATCATGAGCAAATCGCCTGTGTTACCTCTCGATCGGTGAACTTGTTACAACTTGCCGCCGACTGATCCTTGGGGGGTGGTTTTCCTAAGCAGCGGGGAGTCGCGTTTTTTCCTGGAACCGCCATGTTGGCCCGGGAAAAACATACACACAGACACAAAAAAAACAAAACGTATGAGGATGTACGAACATGGACCCCCCCAATCGCCTTTTCGGGCTGTTGCCGTGTCTTTCGGCCGCCCTTGAGGAGGCCGAAGGCCGGTCGCCCAGATGCGGCATGCCGGCGATCCGGCGCTGCCGTGCTTCCTTTTTCGAAAAAGATAGGATCCGCGCACGCCGAGCCGGGGGAAAGCCAGCTTTTGTGATGATGTCTTTAAAACAAAAATATTTTCTCAGTGTTTTTCAGGTTTAGCATGTTAGCAACCTATGAGTTTGCCCAGATGGGTGGTTTTATGTTTATGATCTCGAGTGGGAGGCTTAATCCGCTTGACAGAGGCTCCCTCGAAGACTCTGGATTCGGAGTGAGTCGAATAAGGCCGAACCCCGCGACTTCAAGGAGAGCAGTTCGTTCCACGATTTTCGACTTGGAGTCTACCGAAAGACGGCCCTTCCTATTGGTAAAAAGCAAAAAAGACGCGTCGCTTTGGGCACGTTGGTGCCGGACTTTTGGACGTCGCTTTTCGGGTCATTCTTTTTTAGTGGAGGTAGTTGCGATGCAAAACCAATGGTACCAGTCTGGGGTAGGTGCACCACCCATTTTAGAACCTATTTTAGTCAATTATCACGATGACATTTATGGCCCAGAGGTACATGAGGTAGGTTCTCATGTAGTCAGTTGCATGTTGTACATTCAAGTGGTTGCCAAAGCATGATCCAATCACTGCTTTGGCTCAAGTGCTGAAAACAGCGCGTTGCACCGCGCCAGCCCCAAGGTTAAGGGAGAGGTCGCAGTCACGGAGGGGTTCGTTCCTTTTAAGGTCCCGGGTTCCCCCGTTGTTGACAAAACTGTGTTTCCCTCTCCTTTGAGTTGCTTCGAGGCGTTCTTCTCCTGGCGTGAGTCACTGGATAGTTGGCACCTGTGGAATTTTGACCAAGAAGCCTTCGACGTGATCCAGGCCGCGGACAACGCTTATCAGCAGCGTCTCGCATTGGTTGAAACCACAGGAGTGGTATTGCCGCAGGGTGCGCCATCTCAGGATCAAGCCGCAGCCTCAGGCGCGGCGGGAGCATCAAGCAGTGCAGCGGACTGGCTTCGTCCTCCGACGCCTCCATCAGCTTCCTCCTGGTTGCAAGATTCGCGCACTCCTTTGCCTCGCATTCGGCCATCTGCAGAGGAAAGACAAGCCGCAAAGTCAACTCTTCGCGGGGTATACGCTAAAGCTGCGGAAACGCGGCGGGAGAGCAGCAGGGAGCGATCAACACAAAGATCGAGGTCCCCATCGCCACGAAGGTCGAGGTCTCCATCAACATCACCGAGACGAGGACCAACTGCTGCTGCCCCTGTGGAACAAAGGGCTCATAGTGTTGAACCCGCACTTGCGCGGGAGGGAAGGCCATCCAGAACCTCCCTAGCCACTCGGCCCATCGTTTTGGCTCCACAGAATAGCATCTACCCTGTGACGAGGTTTGACGAACACGGTACCTGGGTATTGGTGCGCGAGGCATCACAACCACGTGAAGCGGCTCCTCATCGGCGAGCGCAACGGACGTCTGGGCAGCTTCGCCAAGCCGATCCTTACCTCCTCGCTGACGAGACGTGGAGGGACCCGCCAAGGAGGTCCTCCACGAGCTCACGCTCACGGTCTCCTGACCGCCGCCCGGCGCCCGCGGAGCACTTCCGCCTCGACGCCTACAGCTCGGACGAGGAACCACCGCAAGGCGGAGTCCATCAGGACGGGCAGGTCAGCATACGTGCCTCGGCGCGTTTACGAGGCGCCGACTCACTCCGAGCCCATCGCGCTTCACAGCCGAAGAATCGGGGCAGTTCAACCGCCGCCCCCAAAGGCCGCTCCCAAGGTCATCTTCGGCAGCAAGCCACCGGTGCCCAAGGAGGTCCCCAAGGCAGTTTCTCCAGCGCCTGCAAAGGCAGACATCCCGAGGAAGTCACCGCCAAGGGCCAGATCTCCGGTTCGGACTCAGAGTGCATTCGGTTACAAGGCACCTCCGCGAGGCTTGAACAAGGCCGAACCCAGAAGCAAATCGAGCTCAAACCCGCCACAATTCGGGTACATCGTCAAGCCGCCACCTCCGCAGGTCGTTCAAGCAGCTGCTGCTAGCGCTGCAACTCCCGAAGCTGGCACGCGATTCCGCTCGCCACCAAGGAGGGCACCGCCTGCGCCCCCGCCGCCACCACCTCCGCCTGGAAGGCCGGTGCCGCCCAAGGAGCTTGTTGTTGCTCTTGACTGGCACGGAGTTCTTGACGTTGGGCAGCAGGGACCCCACCTCAACCCGGAAGTGATCCGACATCTCGTTCAGTTTGCAGCGGACTACGCACCTATAAATTTTATAGTGCTATCCTTCGTGGGCAGGGCTGCAAGCGAGTATCGCCGCCGCGAATTTCAGGTCGCCCTGGAGCACGCGCGGACAACATCTGGACTCACTTTTTCTGCGATAAAAATCGTTCACGAACGGTTGGGAAGGGGAGGCAAAGCAGACGCCCTGCAAGGGCTGGGCGTACACGCCCTTATTGACGATACAGCATCGATTGTCCGTGAAGCTCAAAAGACAGGCATCGCGGCGTTCCGCAATTATCCGCACTTCGGTCCGGGAGGTTTTGGCAACGCACTTGAGAACCTCGGTGAGTTCATTGAATCCCGGAACAGACAATTTATTCCGGCGGCGAGAGGCTTGCATCCATCGCAATACCTCGAGGAACTCCACCGATCTGCATCTCAGCTACCCGCCAGCCGGGTACTTCGGTAGCTATTGCTGCAAGCCGTTAAAACGTCGCTTTGCGCGGTACAGCTTTTGCAATTACAAGCTTTCGATTTGCAGACAAATTCTCAATACAGCTTGGCAACATCCCTCGATAAAGCACCATAGTGCGGCAGTGCGGATCAATCAATCTACAAGTACAATTACAAATACAGAATTCATCAGGTGCAAAGCAGCAGGGCGCATTTTCTTGAGTGGCTCACTTGAGCGTTTCGCAACGTATTTTCTTGAGTGGCTCACTTGAGCGTGG